AAAATATTTTAATTGAGGGTTTTTAAATCTGTGCATGTATACAATCTGAATAAAACTGAAAATCTCCAGTACTGTGTGCGTGTGTGCGCGTGTGTTGTCGGAGGGGGCGGGGTCTGTGCTAACCAGTGGAGCTGCTGCTGCCAGCGATGTTGGTGTGTGGGATTAATAATGGACGCTTTTTAAAATTATTATTATTCCCAAAATGCTCTTTTGTGATTTGCTTTGAAGGGCATGTGTGTGTGTGTGTGTGTGTGTGTGTGTGTGTGTGTGTGTGTGTGTGTGTGTGTGTGTGTGTGTGTGTGTGTCTCCAATTATACAATTAGTGAGGAATGTAGGGCAGCAGCGGCGCAGTGCTGCTCGCCGAGCCCGGACAGCGCCTCACCTCGCTCGCCTCACATACACAAATATCGAAAAGGACGGTGGGAGACGTTCCTCGAGTTTCAGTCGAGCCACCGCCAGCGGCTGTAGCAGGAACTGAAAGCAAAGGTCAAAGGTGGAAATGGGTCGAAAAGTCCACAGTTTCAGCACGAGTGTGTGTGTGAGTGTGTGTGTGTGTGAGTGTGTGTGTGAGTGTGTGTGTGATGTGTGTGTGTGTGTGATGTGTGTGTGTGTAGTGTGTGTGTGTGTGTGTGTGTGTGTGTGTGTGTGTGTGTGTGTGTGTGTGTGTGTGTGTGTGGTGAGTGAGTGAGTGTGTGTGTGTGAGTGTGTGTGAGTGTGAGTGTGTGTGTGTGTGTGTGTGTGAGTGTGTGTGTGTGTGTGATGAGTTGAGTGTGTGTGTGTGTGAGTGTGAGTGTGTGTGTGTGTGTGTGTGTGTGTGTGTGTGTGTGTGTGTGTGTGTGTGAGTGTGTGTGTGAGTGTGTGTGAGTCTGAGTGTGTGTGTGTGTGTGTGTGTTTCTGCAGCACGTAACGTAAACTTTTTTCTGTTGTCATTTATGATTTTTGACTCTTCAGGCGACTCAAACGTTTTAATTTGAAGGCCGGTGTAAACGCTGAATGACAGGAAGTGTGAGTCGGAGCCGTTTCCATGATGGGATCGTTGTTCACGCCGAGCTAACATAAAAATCTTGTTTTTCGCAGATTAAACGTAAACGTCCTGATTCCAGCTGTTTTTTCAGTGAGTGAGCTGATTCTTGATTGGCTGCTCAGAGCTTTGATGTCAGAGGTCATGTGGTTTTTCAGCTTTTTTCTCCTCCACATTAGCTGCTCGGTCCTCCCTCTCTGATAAAGTCATTTTTTGGTTAAGTCCCTCCCCCCGCGGCGTGCTGGTTTGTGACTCGGCGTACATCCAGCGGTAGCTGCTGCTGCTGAGATGAAGCGATACGATAAATGGATTTATGATGAAGCACAAATTGTTTAATAATTTGGCCTCTTTCTGATTGTCCTCTCGCCGTCGCCTGGCTGCCGCCGCCGCCGCCGTACTCGCTTTAATACGCAGCAACAACAACAGCCAAGTGCCATCTGTTGGCATGTGGATTTTCTGTAATCTCTCTTTACTGATTACAACAATGACTACACAAACCTCTTAAATAATTATCCTACAATGTAAAAAAAAGCCAAATAATTATAATCATTAACTCCCACCAAGTCTGCCACTCCTCCAGCAAATGAAGGCTGTCAGTGAGAGAGCGAGCGGCGTTTTTCTGCCGCGATGCCAATCATGTCTTATTTATACCAGCAGGGAAGAGAACCGCACAGCAGCGACAATCTCAACCCAACAACGCCGGAGAGGAAACTGTGGCTAAATTGACCCGTCTCCGCCCTCCGCCCTCTCTGCTCCATCACGCGGAGGACGGGTTAGTGCTCGTCTCACTTTAGTGTTTGACAAAGAGACGCCAAAGAGGACGGAGGCACAACACGGTGCTTTAAAATGAGCCTCAGGTGAACCACGAACCTGTGAATCTAAACTTTAAATGGTTTCACGTCTACTAAAGAACAGGAAGTGATGCATTTTTTAAACTGGAGTGGCAGTATAGCGTAGCAGAGGGTGAAAATACCTCTGACTGCTGCTGTGTGCGAGCGTGTTAGAGCAGCAGCTTTGCTGTGTGTGCGTCTATAAGTCATCTGTGCGTGTGTGTGCGAGCTTTGTGTGAGAAATGGTGTGAGAATACGTCAGGGGTAGCATGTGTTAGCTCTGCTTCCAATATGAGGGAAATCTGTGGCACATACCTCCGATATGACACGAGCCAACACGCCGTGACTCACCGCGTGCTATATTTGATTAATCAAAAACGTGTTCCTAAACAGCACGGCGCGCCACGCCACCGGCAGTATGTACGCTCCGGTACATACCTGCTCCTCTGATACATGAACTTCCAGCTTTCATTGATTAGCACTTTACCACCAATCAATTTTTTACAAACCGTCCTGACCCTCATCCCTCCCTCTGCTGCGCGGGACGCCCCCTCTCTCCCAGGACGAAGGACTTTTACAAACGAAAAGAACACAGAGACGTGAGAGAGGAGTAATTATGAGCGAGGAAGAGGAGGGACGGCGGGCAGACAGGTATGGATTTAAAGATGAATGTGAGCCTCGGAGAGAGAGAGTCTCGTTTCTGCAATGATGATGATGATGATGACGTGCTGATTACAGACAACTGGGTAGGATGAAGCATGCCCCCCCCCCCACACACACACAGTAACAGCCCATCACGGTGAGGGATGGGGTGGCCACGCTCATCCAGCTCCAGGAATAATGGCTCGCACCTGTTTACCGTGTCACCTCTGTTTGCTAATTGTCTCCTTGAGCTGCACAGAGAGGAAATGACAGCGGTGTGGCTCTGTGACAGGCCGAGTGTGTGTGTGTGTGTGTGTGTGTGTGTGTGTGTGTGTGTGTGTGGTGGTGTGTTGATGTGGAGGTGTGTGATGGTGTGTGGATGTGTGTGGTGTGTGTTGTGTGTGTGTTGTGTGTGTGTGTCATTGTGTGTCTGCGTGTGTGTATGACTGTGGGAGTGTGTGTCTGTGTAGTGTGTGTTGTGTTGTGTGTCTGTGTGTGTGTGTGCGTGTGTGTGTGTGTGTGCTGTGAGTGTGTGTGTGTGTTTGTGTGTGTGTGTGTGTGTGTGTGTGTGTGTCTGTGTGTGTGTGTGTGTGTGTGCGTGTGTGCGCGCGAGTGGTGTGTGGTGTGTGTGTGTGTGTGTGTGCGAGTGTGTGTGTGTGTGCGCGAGTGTGTGTGTGTGTGTGCGTGTGTGTGTGTGCGCGTGTGTGTGTGTGCATGTGTGGCGAGTGTGTGCTGTGTGTGTGTGCCTCTGGTGTGTCTGTTGGTGGTGGTGGTCGTGTCGAGTGTGGGTTGTGTGTGGTGTGTGATTGGTGAGTTGTGTGTGGTGTTCGAGTGGTGTGTGTGCGAGTTGTGTGGTGTGTGTGTGTGTGTGTGTGTGTGTGTGTGTGTGTGTGTGTGTGTGAATATGTGCTGAAAAGACTGGTGTGTTTTGGATGGCCCCGCCCCTCCCTGAGCCTGGTTCTGCTGAAGGTTTCTTCCTGTTAAAAGGGAGTTTTTCCTTCCCACTGTCACCAAGTTCTTCTTATAGAGATGGGGTGTCAAACGCAAGGCCCAGGGGCCAGAATCGGCCCAGGAAAGAGGCCAATCCGGCCCACTGGACAGCTATGGAAAATGTAAAGGCGGGCACAGGAAAGAAAGCTTTCTGTAATTTATTTCTTTTATTCATTAAAGCAGCATTTCTGTAATATGTAGTTAAACCTGTAAAATGAGCCTGCCTGTATTACTGTAGGTCTTACAGTACAAAGAGCCTTGACTGCGCTAAATGAATAAAACTAAACTCACAGACATGAATGTTTTTTTCAGTAAGTTTAAAAAAAGACACTCTTCATTAACACAAACTTTCCCTTTTAAAAGTGAAATTGTGTTTCTTTTTCTTCACGTAGCTCACGGTTTACATGTGCAGTTAAACTTCTTTAGCACAGTGTCACCGCTCCGGCCTCCGTGTGAAATCAACATTTAAAAGAATAACGTACAGCTGACATTTATGGACATCCTCAGTAAGTGAATCATCTGTACGTCGCTCAAATCATGCAGGAAAAGGAGCAGACAGAAGAAGAACCCTCCTGTTTAACGGATGAAGCGATATGACGTGCAGGGCAGGCGTGCATGCACACACATACATGTGTGGACATTCAGAAACGCTCCCTCATTCACATAGTTAAGAAAAGTGACCATATAAAAACTGGCGGATGATGCAGAGGTGTCGGGGCGTTTCCATCGTTCAGTCACACTTTACGTTACATTCGTGCAACCAGACGGCTCAGATTTAAAAAGAGACCCAGGTTTGGGTTCAAATAAGCTTTCTCTCAACCCTGTCTCCATCTCCTCTGTTACCACAGTAACGACCAGCGGCAAAGTCTGACCGCAGCGCGCCCGCCAGCCGAAAACGTCCTGAAATTTCCAGGAAGCCTCACATCAGCGGCTCCACATCTGGACGCTCAGAATTCAGTCCAAGGAAAAAGTAAACAGGCCGTCTGAGTGTTTCTGATAATTGAATCAATATTTCATATCTTCGCTGCTCGTATTTATGTTGCAGCTACAGGTTGATTTTTTATTTTTCTCTGCGCGTGATGAGGAGAAGACGTTAAACGGAGCCAGATTCAGTTTAATAGCAGACAGATGCAAAGAGCAGATTTAACAGACTCGGAGTCACACGCGCAGCAGAAACACGCCCCCGACGCATCCTGCTGCCGGCTCTGCCGCCATGCATCCCGGCATATGTGCCTTCAAACTCACGCCGCGGATGCACGAAAACACGCCCAAACACGGCCGCTTTGACCACATCTTCAGCTGCCGTGAGTACGTGCGTGCACGCTGGCAGTGGAAGCGTGGAGTCCAACGAGCACGCCGTTGAGCCGCCGGCAGACACTGCGACAGGCCAACTCAGAGAAAGTACGGCACGACTTTGTGGACTTTTGGGAAAGAAAGCAAAGTAGGAGAGCGCACAAATGTGACAGACACCTTTAATATCCTCCCCTTTCTCCCGCGATCAATCGGTGCGATCGTACCTGCGTGACTGCCGCCTCTCCAGCGAGCGCCGGGTGTCAGGAAGAGCGCCGACAGCTTCACAGAAGGTGGGACGACAAGAGCCTGTAAACAAAGCACACACACCAGGAAATTCACAGTCACACACATTTGAAGCTTGACAAGTTTGTAACGGTGGCGACAGCAGACAAAGACCCCCCCCCCCCGACACACGGCTTTATTTTCCCCAGCACTTCCTGTGCAGACGTGATGTCGTTTACACGAATAATCTAACAAATATATGAACTGTAATTGCTTGTGCACATCAGTGTCGGACTTTTTTCATTTCTTCTTCTGATGATGATGTTTTCTGCAGTGACGGCTGATGAGGGGAGTGCAAAAGCCCCACGCCGCTCCTCGACGCGTTGCACGAGCGCTCGGAGAGCACGGAGTAAGAAAGGCCGGCACTTCCTGTTAGAGCAGCCCGGCTGGCAGATATCGGAGCTTCTGCCAGCGTTTGCTTCCTCTGCACAGACTTCACATCGAGGAAGAACGCCTAAAAAGTGGCGGAGCTTTGCTCTTTGTTGAAGAAGTTAATTTATCCGTTTCGACGCAGCTGACTAAACTGCTCCTGATTTACATTTCATTTTTTGTGACATTTCAAACGTTTGCTTAAATCTGTCAAAGTTTGCTTAGACGGGAATCTGCGAGATCTCCTTTTTTGTATATTTACCCTCAATCTAGGCGCTAAACGCTCCACGCCGCGCGCCGTACCCCGCCTGCCACTCACGCTCAGATCAATACCGTCGTCTGCCGCGGTGGGTTTGGTTACCGCGGACGCTGTGATTGGGTAAAACGAGGTCTGGCTGAGTGTGCTGTGAGTGCGGAGGAGCAGCCAGGCAGAGAGGAGCCGGCTCAGTCCTGCAGGGGGGGCGGGGGGGACACAGATGTGGAGGGTCTGCAGGAGGGCCACCCAGATTTACCCACCACTACTGTTTCAATGGAGCGTCAAGAGTAAATCTCTCTCACACACACACACACACACACACACACACAAAGCCACGACGTTGCCTTAAGTCACAATCTAAATTGGCTCCCAGGGGCATACCGACTACCTTGTTCACCAAAGGCATTGTGTATGTTTTCCGAGTGCTTAGCATATGCTGCCGTAACCTGAGATCTCTCCCTCTGTCTCCTCAAACGTGCACACACACACACACACACACACACACACACACACACACACA